TGTGAGAAGATCAAGTTTTGTCATCCATTTCTTGAATGATCCATGATCCATGATGATTAATTTCTTTATCATCTTGAATGATCCAGAATAGCTATTGGACTCTTTTCATGTCTACCTCATTGATTTTATCATCTTGAATGATCCAGGATGGCTATTGGACTCTTTTCATGTCTACCTCATTGATTTTATCATCTTGAATGATCCAGAATGGCTATTGAACTCTTTTCATGTCTACCTCATTGATTTTATCATCTTGAATGATCCAGGATGGCTATTGGACTCATTTCATGTCTACCTCATTGATTTTATCATCTTCAATGATCCAGGATGGCTATTGAACTCATTTCATGTCTACCTCATTGATTTTATCATCTTGAATGATCCAGGATGGTTATTGAACTAATTTCATGTCTACCTCATTGATTTTATCATCTTGAATGATCCAGGTTGGCTATTGAACTCGTTTCATGTCTACCTCATTGATTTTATCATCTTGAATGATCCAGGATGGCTATTGAACTCATTTCATGTCTACCTCATTGATTTGATCATCTTGAATGGTCCAGGATGGCTATTGGACTCATTTCATGTCTACCTCATTGATTTTATCATCTTGAATGATCCAGGATGGCTATTGGACTCATTTCATGTCTACCTCATTGATTTTATCATCTTGAATGGTCCAGGATGGCTATTGGACTCATTTCATGTCTACCTCATTGATTTTATCATCTTGAATGATCCAGGGTGGCTATTGAACTCATTTCATGTCTACCTCATTGATTTTATCATCTTGAATGATCCAGGATGGCTATTGAACTAATTTCATGTCTACCTCATTGATTTTATCATCTTGAATGATCCAGGATGGCTATTGAACTAATTTCATGTCTACCTCATTGATTTTATCATCTTGAATGATCCAGGTTGGCTATTGAACTCTTTTCATGTCTACCTCATTGATTTTATCATCTTGAATGATCCAGGATGGCTATTGAACTAATTTCATGTCTACCTCATTGATTTTATCATCTTGAATGATCCAGGTTGGCTATTGAACTCTTTCCATGTCTACCTCATTGATTTTATCATCTTGAATGATCCAGGATGGCTATTGGACTCATTTCATGTCTACCTCATTGATTTTATCATCTTGAATGATCCAGGATGGCTATTGTACTCATTTCATGTCTACCTCATTGATTTTATCATCTTGAATGATCCAGGATGGCTATTGTACTCTTTTCATGTCTACCTCATTGATTTTATCATCTTGAATGATCCAGGATGGCTATTGAACTCATTTCATGTCTACCTCATTGATTTTATCATCTTGAATGCTCTAGGTCGGCTGTTGAACTCATTTCATGTCTACCTCATTGATTTTGTGGACATGTAGACAATAGATTGCAGCTTGGATTAGTAGATAAAAATCGAAGAAGCAAGACAATTCCGTCAATCAAAAATCTCCTTCAAAGAATGGCTAAGTCAGGAGTAAAAAGTGGTAGAGTAGTGGACACTTTTAAAGAGAAGTACCATCAGGTGTTTCGATAAGAGAAAGCCATGCACTCTTAGACTGAGCTTGTTAACTGAACATGTTCTGATAGCTAATTAATTTATATGTTAATTAACACAATGATGTAATGTCAATGAAATCTGTTACTGTTAGTTGATTCTGTACAGGAAATAATAACAATAGGGTTATTAACCTGTATCATATTACAATACATCTAATTAATATTAAGATACTTAATTATCATTCTAGTTAATAAGTTGATTCTATGAGAAAATTAACTCATTAAAAGATGGTATATCAAGATTGAAATATCAAAAACCTTGTGCTATAGTGATTATGAAGTGATCTTTACTCCAAGTGTATCAAAATTGCTTGAAGCACACAGGGCCTTGATTTATTGCTCAAATTCGAATGACTTTGTTTTTTTATGACAGCCCCTGTGACTGCATCACTAATATTGGAATTGCTCAACTTAACTCAATCTTCACAATTTCAAGATACAAGTGTCTAATACCTTGACTACAATAGCCACTATTTTTGTACCATCAAGTATGTAAATGCAGCCATTTGATTGTCCAGAGTGTATGCTTGAGAATACAGCCAATCAGAGTCCTCAACAGAAAGACTGTGAACAATAAGGCTGTAGGTATAATCGGGGGCTATGATTGGTTGATTGCTGTATAATCAAGATGAACCAAATTATCAGAATATATCAACAGTTATAGAGTTTCAGTAGAAGCTCAAACAAGTTTAGTCAAGATGACATCAGAATATTATTGATAGAGACCAGTCCTGGAAGATAGTTGTTGTAACCTAATTAACAAAAGTGTACTTGGAATCGTTACCATCATCAACTAGACAAAAAATACAATAGAGCCTAGCCTGCATTAGAAAGTTTTTGAATGTGTAAAAGTGCACAAATCTGTTAGATATCGTAGCAGTAAAATAACATAATACTAATATAGACCAGCCAGTGTAAGACAGCTATTTCAATCTACTAGTATTATAAATACATACAGAATGTGGAAGTAATTAGAGAGAAATTAGAGTGATTAGTTAATGTAATAAAATAGAGTGGTTCAACTAACAATATCTACTTCTATATAACATATTACACCTGTACCCAGATCACACAGGTAGCCTAGTTAGATAGGAGGTTCTACCATGTTTCACTTTAGAAGATTTCATAAGATTATTAAGCAACATTAATACTGTTATACAGGTAGATTTAGATTTAGAGGTTAACATCCAGCATCATCTCTTTATGATATATTTCTACCCTGTTTCACTTTATTAAGTTCTAGTGGTTCAACTAATAATATCTACTTGTGTATTGCATATTAAATTTATTCTGTTACACAGATCATTTAGATTGTAACAAGCATATAATAATTTATCTCCTCATTTGGATAAAGTGAAGGTCCCATCTAATACTAATTAGGGAGTGGTTATTACAAGATGTAGAGCCTCAAGCCATTTATAACATGACAAGAAGACTTAGACAGCTCTCTAAATGTATCACAAATCATAGTCTTGAACCAGTTATCAGACATGACTGGTAAATACAGAAACACAGCTATATCAGACCAACATATGTTAAATATAAGAAATAGTTGGTACTAGTGGAATGTACAGAACAATATAACACAATGTGCAACTAATATCAAACAGTAAATAACTTTCAATATAGAACTTGATGTTTCCATGTGCTGTTAAGTTTGTGTCCATACAAAACTTCCTATTGTTCTTACAGAAAAATAACACACACGAACATAGTTCATAACCATTTTGAATCTCATCCTTGACATAAAAAGTCCAATTTTTAAAAATGGCTATAATATTTCAATAAAGACTTTTAATCACAATCAAAGCCATTTAGAACTAAAACCTTTAAATGTGATTTGAAGGCTTTTTTTGAAATATTAAAACCTTTTTCAAAATTCTACTAATTAAAGTGATACTATGTCTTAGAATGAACATTTAATTTAAGAATTTTAAACTTGGCCGATAAGAGCATATATTGATCAGTAGATATACCTGGTGTCATAAATAACATAACAGGATCCTTATATAATCTGATAAATCAAAAAAACTGCAATTAACTATTGATCAAGCGTTTTTCAATAATTACTTAGTTTTATGAATTTTCTAATTTTACAGATTTTACAGGGATTCTGTTGTAACTTTATGACACCAGGTAAGTTCACTGATGAATATATACTCATATTTACCATCCCGAGAATCTAAATTTTATGTTCATTCTAAGACGTTGTATCACTTTAAGTTTGTGTGTGTTATTACCATTTGTAGTATTTCTTTATAATTAAAATAGAACATTGTTAAAACTAATTATTAAATGACAACTATTACTAATTATATAATTTTGGCACCTGTTTTCTTACACCTGTACTATACACATTCAAGACTATCAGTTTTTAACAAGAAATAAATACTTAGTTGGATATTGTCTTCATCATATTACATTGCAAATATCAATATCACCATAACTCAGAGGAAATATTCCAATTATACAGAAATACCTGGCAAACAGATGTTAATATTGCCAATAGTATACACACTTCTCAAATCACTGTGGTACCGGTACTGGTACCGGTTTCTTTTCATACCGGTACTCTAGAGCAATGAAATTGAGGGAAATTGTGAGCAATGTGTATTTAGATAAATTTTAAGAAATAGCTGGAAAAAAGTCGTCAATAACCTTTTACACTTCTGAATTCAAAGTTTTTCAAATGGTATTTGAGTTTTAGAAGAGTAAGCATGCCCTGATCAACAATACACACATAGTTATAGGAAGGTAAAAACAAAACCTAGTGAGTGACATGAGAATAGTTTTATCAAAGAAAGCACTGGCCTAGGTCATAAGTAGAGACTACAGATTTCAGCATCTGAATACATCAATTTGATAAGAAATTACCTACTTCTGGAGAGATTTACAAGATAAACAAATAATTCAAAATATGCAATTTACCTAGAGTAAGATGAGTATTCTTCAATACTAGGTCAAGTAGTAAGAAAATAAACACTGGGGTTTCAGATGATTTAGTTTTACCACAACCAAGGGAATGACATAGAACAGAACT